AAAATACAGACATCATAAGCCACCTCTTGCTTCTAGTTTTCTGCTTTTTAATGTGGATAATGACAGTGAGTGCCACCGAATCTTGTAGCTGCACTTTGTCATCTCTTTCCCCCACCCTCTTCTTTTCTATGGAAAAAAATGAGGAATTTTGGGGAAAAAAAAACATATTTTTCTTTTGCATACATACCTAATGGGTTTTCAAAAGAAAACAACTTATTCAGACAGCTACCATTCTATAAATGTTAAAAGAAAGAACTTCCCAAATCCCAAAATACTAAGTCTGACATTAGCTGGAGAGGAAATTTCCACTCACACCATAAATGAAATGTCATCAATTAAGCTGAACATATAAACTCACTTAGTCAAGAATCAATTCTCAGTACGGAAGGAATCTGTAACCCACATAGAACCTGCATATAATCCAAATATCACTTATATTTGCTTCTGTTCACAGATGAAATTTGGTTGTGTGTCAGATTTATCTTACTCTGAAATGCCTGGGCTAGTATTTTGTTAGTATAATCAGAGCCTATATTAAGTGTCCTGGGGAGAGGCAATTCAGCAGAACGCTTAGGAGCATCGACAAACGGGTGCAAAATGAAAAGAAAAACAAAACACAAAACAAAACCCTCCCTACAGAGCGAATAATCCACAAATCACTGAAAGCAAAACGGAAAACGTCCCTCTCCTGAGTAGCCTAAATAAACGCTCTTCCCTCGGACCGTTTCATAGGATCCTATCTCACGGCATTCACTTCCCAACTTCTTGACTTCCCAGGGGCCAACATGGGGCGCCCCCGCCCCCCCGTTGTTTTTTGTTTTTTTTTTTTTTCCTGGAACTGTATGTTGCAAGACCATAGAGGAGAGAAGGAAGGAACGGACAAAATTCCCAAGAAAGCTGTGAAACAGGTGGGTTAGAACGAGCAGCAGCATAATCTAGAGACTTGCGGGGCAGCTTTTAAAAATGACAGATGCGGTTAAAAGGAAAGGCTGCACATCGGAAGCAGCTCTGCTGTGGCAGCTCACCCGGGGGCTGATCGCAAGCACAAGAAGAGGGCAAAGGCTAACTCCAGGATGGCAGCAGCGGAGCGAAAACCGAGCAGCAGGACGAGTGGGCATTGAGCAGTGGGATTCATGAGCAGCAGCAACACGGGTCAGGGTGGAAGTGATGGCTCTGGTCTTGGGAGACGGGGGCCACTGGGAAAGGACGTCAGAGAGGGGAAAGGGGGCTGAGAAAACAAGGAGTCCCGAACCCTAAGACTCCTGCCCCAGCAAAAAAAAATTAAAAATTAAATAAAACATGTAGGGGAGAGAGCTGAAGACGAAAAGCCGCCGCGGCTCCCCAATTGGAAGCAATTTTCGAAGGAGTCGGTGCCCGCCGCCGCGCTGCCTTCTGCCCGGCTCCGTTTTCCTGGTGGGACCTGCTGTGGCGTAGAGGGGAGAGAGGGAGGAAGAGGAGGAGGAGGAAGACCAAGAAAGAGGAGGGTGAAGATGAGGCGGGGGGGTGGGGAAGCGAGGGGGGTGCGGCCTGCACAATCCCAGCGAAGCCTCCGCTCTCTCGTAGCCGGTCAGCCCCGGGTTTCCCCTAAGCCCAGCCCCGCATAGACTCACCCGCCTGACTTGCCTCGCTTTGCCCTCAGCCGACTCCACGCGCTGCCGCGTCCTCACAAGAGACCCCTGAACGAGTGTCGGGGAAAAAACTCTTCAGCACCGGGCCTGATTGCTTCAGCGAGTCCGACCTTTACGGCTGAGAGAGAGACTCTCAGCTTTCGGTGGGTTCCACAGCCAGACGGGCCACCATCTTACATTAGGGTAAGACTCCTCCGGCTTCCCGTGCGCAGGCGCACACCGATTCGGCCGGGAGGGGCGGGGGAGGGGCGGAAGGAGCGGCTAGAGGCTCCTCCCGCAGCACCCTGGGAGTTGTAGTCTTCGGAGGCTAACCGCCCAGCTGCAAGCCGGGAGTTGAAGTTCTCACTCCTAAGGCGGATGGGATCGCCCACCTCACGTGGCTGCAAGACTGCTGCCTTTCTTCGTGTTTTGCTTCCTTGTCTGCCCTCGTGTGCTGCTCCGCTGTCATTTGGTCGGCGGTCTTCGTTAGTGGTTCCGTTTCCTCCGTGTTTGCTCAAATACGGGATTACCAAAACTCGCCGCGAGTTTAACCGATTTGGGAGGAGCTGGGAACGTCTCTTCTCTGCCCCGCCCACCATAGATATTAAAGGAGGCGGGGTAGAGGCAGGTTGGGAAGGTTAAGAGGAGCGCGGGATTTGATCTAGGGTAATTTGATACTGAATTGATATCTGTTTGCGAAAAGTGAACATTAGCCCGTTTCCCGTGTTTGCGCATTTTGGAGTCACNATGAGCCAGTGAAGTGACGTCCTCCACTAGACTGAAGAACAAAAGGACAGCAACTTGTCTGTTCCCCTTCCCTGATTCCCCAATGCTGTTCCCCTCCCCCAATTCCCCGATCAAATCTTAAAAAGAAAAAGTTTTCTAGAAAGATCTAATTTGGCAGGGAACTTGCATGATCCTAATTCTTATCTAAGAATTAATAAAAATTAGAGGAAAAAACTAATCAAAATGGAGATCTCCATCAAAACAAAAATTAACCTTACTACCAAAAGAAAAACAGCTTATTTCAAATTTCCACACTCAATTACCGTGTTCAGAAATGGGTCCACCTAGAAAACTGCTGAAAACCAAAAAACATCAGGAAAAAAATCAAGGCAAAATACGAAAAGCAGAAAATAAGAAAAAAATGTTGCTGCAAATCAGCCAGTGTTATTTCAGGAAATTCACAATCTGAAGACATCAGCATCCTTAACAGGGAATGAATTAGTAGGTTCTTAAATAATAGGAAAAATTAGCACTTCCTCTTTATTTCAAGGACTGCAAAACATGCTAAAGAAATTTCAGATATTTGGCTTAATGACAATGTATCTGCTGCTGCTAACGAAAGCACTACCCCTTTGATATTTGTCCATAGCTACTTTTCAAAATTCAATCACTACACTTTTCCCCACTTTATTATTCATTGATTCCTTCCAAAGCAGTAATACAACACCTACTATCTTAAAACTTTGGCTCACTATTCTTCTAATTACACTGCTTTTTTCCCCAAAAACTGTTTATGGACATTTATACAAACCAATTTAATTATTCTGATTTCCCCTTCTCTAATTTTCTCTACTCAAAAGGTGAGATTTCAGTTACCATAACTTAAAAAAAAAATTGATTCTGAACAGATATCTGACATATACACATATAAAAATAGCAAGGTTTTTCCTAATAGTGATACATCATCTGCCCATCACCCAATGCAATTAAAGTTTGAAACAGGAAAACTATCTTGTATAAACAGTTTAGTAAGAATGAAACTATCCTCACAAATAAACTCCTTAGGGAAAAAACTCATACTCAAATTGCCTTGCACTTGTACTATCTTTAAAGTTAAGTTTTCCTAGCAAGTAAAAATAATCATCTTCTTTTTAGCAGCATGTAATTTTTCTCTTCTAGTAAAAGTCTGCTATGAGAAAGCTAACCTAAGAGGCCAAAATAGTGTTGAAATTTCCTCTTCTATAAACTGCTTTCTGATTAAAAAATGAAAGAATCATACTATGAAAAAGAAATGTGACAAAACTCACTGGATTCTATCACTACACTTGAAAAAGTTGTCATTTACCACACAATTTTTTCTAGTAAAGAAGGCCACATAATAACGAGATTAAAAACAATGCTGAAAAAAAATTCTTTCAGAAAACCACTAAATATGATTAAAAAGTTATTATCGTCTTTCCTTGCATCACTAAATAATTCAGTAAATTATGCTATCTTTATAATTGTGTACTCTCAACTTTTGAAAAAACATATAGCTTCAAATATCAAGGATATTGCTACATTTTACATGACAATAGACATTTGCAGATTTTTCCTATTATCTCTGAGGTAACATAAAATTTTTTAAATCTCAGAATGTGTTAACAAGTTTTATCCAATACATGTTATTCCAATGGGATGAAAACCATTTACAAGCTCCACTTAGATTAAGAAATCCTTTGAGAAAAGTATGTAGCACATTCTAGTTATACTATTTCTAGAACACTAAAAATCTCGATAACCTATTTCCCTAATGTTTTTCTTTGGAACCAACTAAACCGAATGTAACTTCCTTCACAAAAAGTCAAGACAGTACTGTACTTAATGACAGAAAGCTAACTAAATTTTCAGCAGAGGCTGAAGTTTTCACAAATCAAAACTTTCTATTTCACTTGAATGGTCTATAAAAAGAATAACACTGAGTTGAAATAGATCCAACTGAGTATTTACAAGCACCAAAAAAAATTTTTTTAAACGATTAAATTGAAGAGTGCAGCTTCACCTTAAAACCAGGAGTAGGGAATAAGAAAAAAGGAAGACTTCTCAAATCATACTGCTTAAGCTGAGAAGATGTTTTTTCATTCTCTTAAAACATGTAAAGTCACTTTTAAAGTAAAACTCCCTCAATGCAGAGTTCATCCTTAAGCAACACCCTCTTCCTTTTACATAGTAATGAGTTGCAGGTTATCACTAGTGCTCCCATTTAGACTGAAGTTGAGGGCATTACAATTTTCCTGCATTTGGTCATTTGATTGTAACTGTCTCATCCGCATATAGAGATTTGTCTATGCAACTTTATAAAAACAAATTTTACAATGTCAACTTTAAATAATTCATGTTCAAAAACTTTTCTATAGATATTCATCTGAAGAATTCAACAATTGAACCTGGTAAACTATCAAAAAAAAGAAAAATTTGAACCTGGCAAACTAACCAAAAAAAAAAAAAAACAACCACGGCATTATAAAGCTGCAATGAATGCTCATAATGTTATATCTAAAAACTTAAACCATACAAAAAGATTTTGAAATCTCAGCTCCCTATTTCCTCTGAAAATGTCAAAGAACTTTGGATATCTTTAGATGTGCTAAAGATCCCAAATGAAATTCAGTTTGCCTTCAGAATGTAGAAACTAAGAATTTGATGATTACACGAAAAGAGTATGGCATGGAGAAAATTACCTGAGAATGTTATTTACTGAGGGGGAAAAAAAAAACTTTACAAAAGATGTATTAAAATAATTTTTCTCTTCTGCCAGACACACAGTCCTCTCCTAGAACAAACACACTGCTTACAATTCAGACAAATATGACTGCCAAGGGTTTCTAAACCTGTGTGTTGGGCTTATTCAAAGTAGAAAGCTTCTCCATCAGCATATTATAAAGAAAAATGAAATACATTCTTTACTTAAGAGTAAAGATCAATTGTATTAAACACATTCCTATTGATAAATTAAATGAGAGTAATATTTTTTTAAAAACTTCAAGCTATAACTTAGGGCAAGGTTTGCTATAGAAATTGCTTCTAATTCTCAAAAGAGTAGTGATTTAATTTAGTTTCCCCAAATTGAAATTTAAGTGGCTAAAAGGAAAAAAGAAGTTCTATAAACACAGCTTTCGTAACCTCAGTTTACATTTGATAAAACAGACCATTTATCACAATTAAGTGACCATAATACTAAATGTAATATTCCTCAAGTATTACAGGTAAAATTCATAAAAATCACAACACAGTAATGTGCAAAAGTGATTAAAAGGGTAACTGTGGGCATCTGTATTTATACTTGAGATATTGCTACTTTTGCAAATAAGAGGTATATTACTACATGAGATTGCTACTATGAATTTTAACATTGTCACATATATCTTAAGAACACAATGCCTCATTTATGCTTAAATTTGAGATGTATGGATCTGATCTATGTAATCATGTTTGATTTTCTGGTAATTCTTTATTTCACAAGGATCCGATTACAGCAAAAGCTCCTTCTTCCCATTATGCCATTAGTCAGTATATTTTAATTTAGCTTTCGCCAAAANTTGGAATTCAACACATCTAAAGATAGAGACCCTCTGCCCTTGACCGGGACCCTTAAATGACCTACTTCAGAGACTAACAGTCATAGTCTCCAGGGGTTCATCCAGTAACCCAGTCTTGCCTTTGACTGCCAGCATCATCAGGTACTTAGTAAGAGGAAACAAAAATTCTCTGGAAGAAGCCTACATTATCCTTGCTTTAAAAATATTCCTAAAAGTCATGTTCAAAATAAAATACCTTAGAAACAATAAGAGATTATGGAATATACCTCAAATCAAGACAATACAAGATGAAGCACCAGTTGCCCACCACCGTAAACTGATTGTTGATGTGCCCTTTTTTCTCTCTCCCCTCTTTCACTTTCCATACATCCTCACTTCCTGTACTTCTTGGAATCGTTTCCCACATAACTACTTTCGTCCAAGCTCTTACCTCTGGGTCTGCTTCTGAAGGACTCTAAACTAGGACAACAGGTATCCAATCACGTAACCCCCACCACAGTCTGGGTACAGAACAGTATTCTCACCTTAATAAGTTTTCTCATACCTCTTTGCAGTCAACCCTCTCTCCCTACTCACAACCTCAAGCAACCACCGCGACTGGGTTTCTATCACTATCATTTTGCTTTTTACATATTTTCACATAAGATGGAAACGTGATTTAAATTTTTTTTCATCTTGTTAATTTTATTGCATGGTAAAAGCTAAAAGAGAATTTATTATGTATACCTGAAACTGCTAACTTTGTTCAAAAAGGATCCCCGGGAGAATCTCATTTGTGTCTACTGCTGAGAAACAGAGGGATGGCCACCAGAAGATCCCAAGGAATCTCTGAAAGATGAGTCTCCAAGGGAGAAGCTTCCATACAAGATTGTAACAAAGCCTTAGTCATTGGAGGGCCAGGGGGTGACACTGAGTCGTGCTTGTTACTCAGATCTGTGTCC